ACAGCTCGCCCACGAAAAATTGTTTAAATAATGATTTTAAGTTTCAAGTTTTCACACTCAACAACTCTACCAAACGATAACAAGTTTCAAACTTTCCTTTAACCCGGTTGGAAAGGAATTATATACTAAACCAAACTAACCAACGCAGCTTACTAAACACCACAAATCATAAAATAACAGCATGACTAAGAAAAGAAAACCAACGGTACCCAAACCGGATTAACCCAGTTTAAGACTGGATAATTTATTCTTTTGAAGACTATTATAAAGTCTAAGAAAGAAATAATAAAACACAAAAAAGTCGCAAGACAAACCCATACCAAAAACAATTTGATTTTTGAAAAAAGGACACAACCAAAGTAACATAAGAAAGACCAACATAAACCCAACATAAAACGTTATCACAAAACAGGACCTCTCAAAGAAACAGCATGCAATCATACTCCCACTCCTGGCCTAACCCACCAGAGAGGACGTCCTGAGCATGCTCTATAGCCGGCCTAACCCACCGCGCTACATCCACGCTTTGTGACCACACTTCTATTTTTAATAAGAGGTACTCAAGGGTGAGTAACTCTTCAAAATAACCGAACTAAAACAAAACGCTTTTGTGAAAACAACTAACTAAATTCATGAAAAAAAAAACGAACTAACATAATTTTATAAAATGTAAATTATACTTTGCAGTATATAGATCATACACAACAACAAAGATGAACATCCAAAGACCAGATGATCCCATCACACTCGCACAAAAGAATGGCTATACACAACCGACATGCCGTCCACAATCACGACTCAAAGGATTTAGTGTACGACTTGACTTCGCAGAAAAGGACTTCATTGAACTAGACCAATGACCACCTCGATGTTCAAGTATACGTAGAGATCCGATATACAAGGCATCCCTTCCACACACGATCTTCACGCCATTCCCAGACGAGGTTGCACACAAAACAAGTTCTCTACATAATACAGAAAAACCCGTCATAGCAAACCATCTTGAAATTGGATTGATTTCATTGGGGATCACAGTCGTTGTCACAAGAAGACACAACGATTGATGCCCCTAACTCCAGCGTCCTGGAACTTCTCTAACAAGAGGAACCAGACAAGATTACGATGTTCGCCAAATACCAACGTTCATCATCCATCCCTTGAATTGCAGAAAGATAATTCTAAAAAAACTCCATAGTTCAATCCGAAAACAGACATAGAAAATAGTTTGAGCCTAATAATTTATAACTATTTTCTTTATACTTGCAAGCCAGCGAATGTTTTGTTATATTAAGAATTCAATTTCTTTCCGACCTGACTTGCAAAACAGAGTGGTCATTAGTGGCACTTTTGCTGCATAGCATACGGAATTTAATAGCATCTGTACTATTTGCCTTAAAAAGGGCCAGTGTTTGCGCAATTTTAAGCGACCATGAAACAGAGGCGCTAACTTGATACTCTTTATGACGGGGGGGGGGTTCTTTAGGCATGTTCTTTATGACGGTGGTTCGAATACGGTGCATAGTGAATATAGTTTATATAGTTTATTTAGGAGAGTAATATTATACAGACAGGTAAACAATAAACCGCATGTACAAATCAAACGCACCAAGGATCATGCAAAAAGCTATGCAGCTTATCAAGGCATGACCCTGAAAAAACCTGAGACAGAAGTTGCGAGATAGTATCCGACTTGATGATTCAAAAAAGTGAAGTTTTCATTTTCCAAAGCAAAATTTTAATTTTTTTTCTTAGTTACCATTTTGCATTTTTAGAGCTAATTTATGCCGTGTCAATTCTTGTTTGTAATTATTCTCCCGACCATTGAAAATGGGGAGGAAGTTTGTATTCTGGTGTTTTTATTTTTGTCCTTTTTTTGTTTTTTTTTTATTTTCCACGCAAAATCAGGTACCACAAATAATCATCGGAATGGATCAACCGATATATTGTATCAAAGCCTTTTTATGTGTGATTTGAACGACCTTTAAAAACATCAAAAACTTGTCCCAGTGTTGAAAAAGTCTGTCTCAAAATTTTTGAGATTTCGTCTAATTTTGAGCGAGTTTATGGTAAATCACTTTTGTTTTTAGGCTTTTACGATAATAAAACTTGCTTTCACCATACAGAAAACTAGATGTGGATATCTCAGTTAACGCTTATTTGGCTAAGAAACTTTCAAACGATTTTTGTTAATTGCTGTGCGAAAAGTTGATTTAAATTTTTAAATTTTTTTCCCGTTTTTTTTATTTTGCTCAAAACAATTGTTGTTGATCATGCTTATTCCACTATTTTTATACGCGATCGTATAGCTCTTGAATCAAATCAGTCGCTAAATACGACTTTAACTTGAAGAAAATTAAAAATATTTATACTTTTTACTATTTTTTTATGAATATGGTCAGAACCTTCTGTGCTACTTGAACAGCAATCGGCTATCCTTGTTTAAAATTATTTTCTTCTAAATGTCAATGGGTATTCCTTCCCCATTAACTTCCTTGAATCTGCATTTTTTTTCAACTTAATTTTGCATCTTGAATCTCAGTTGTTTATTTTTCATCAGAGAGCAAATTCATGTTGTAGTTTCGAATTAACTAGCAAAATAATTCGAACTTTAGCAAAGAATGTAGACCTCAAGACACGCATAAAATACAGCTTTTCTACAGGCAATCGATGATCGGTTTTCAGCTCAGAGGCTTGTTATCAGAGAATTACTTGATAGCAATGTTCATCATTGTTTCTCAATTGCTCATTTCTCTGAAATTGGGTAAACGCCGTTCGATCTAAAAATAAATATTTACACAAAGCATTGTCTGAATTGGCAAGCGCGCTGGAAAATTAATTAATAAGGATGTCCTGAAACTTGATTTTTCTGATTTAATTTGTGAATATGCTTTGCTCAAGTAAATTTGGGTTTTTTAGAAATTGAAACTTTTCAGTCATCTTGAGCCAAAATTGATTAACACTAAGAAATGTTGCACAAAACTGAGCGGTGTATTTGTTTGAAGCATTGTTAGTCGCGATGTATCTTTTTTAATTTCCGTGAAAGAATTGATGTAGCTTGAAGAGTTCAATTGTCTTGTGTTTATTTTTGGCTCAAAATGGTTTTATGAAGCTATGAAGCATGAACTTGCCCTTTCTCGTCTTAGAGGTTTCATAAGCACACATCAGTCGATTTAGCGGGGGGGGGGGGGGGCAGGGGCGGACGCCTTTTTCCCTCCTCATGGATTCGACCCCCTGTCGACTCAAAGGGTCACCCCTTTGTAATATTTTGAAATATCCATTTTTGGCGGACTGACTTAAAAATTTTTCTAAAGGCGCCTTTGGCACAAAATATACTAACTTTGAGGGGGGAGCGCGCGCCCAAAAAACGCGATTACTGGTAAAATTTTTCCAAAAAAGTTATTTTTGGTCAACAATTTGGTCAAAATGGGTCTTTAATGATTTGGGAGAGCTCAGAAAATCATTTTGGTATACCTAAAAAAAGTTCGACAAATTTTTCAAAACTTTCTTGAAAATCCACCCCTACTACTGAAACTAATAATACTGAAACTACTGAAGTTTTTATACTACTGAAACTATTAACAAAGAAAGGTACGGAGAATTACTAGCTTCGTTTTGTAGTTTTCGCAATTTCAAGTTCATGTGTGGATATTTGTTGATTGAGCGTTTAGGTAGGAAGAGTTTTCGAGTTTAATATTTCCAAATACGTATTTGCTATCACAAAACCCATGATACAAAAACATTTAGCCCAATCTTTTTGTAGATCCTTTGCACTTAATTTGATATTGATATTGAAGTTTAGGTGTTGTTTTATTGATTAAAAGTCAATCGTATTTTGCGCAAAGCGCACAAAAGAGACAAAATTAGAAAAAAGCGAAAAAATTGTTTTTGAAAAATTGAATGAGATTAATTGAAATTTGAAAGTAAGGAAACATTGTATTGGGTGTTTTTATTTCTCCACCCTAAATTAAAGTTTAAAGAAATGTAAAACAAAAGTTGAGTGATTTATCTGTTTGAATTCTTTTTAGTCGTGTTTTGACCCATACATTGACCCCGACTAATATAATTAAAATCGGTTTCTTGTGATTTAAAGCGCTAGTAGGAAAAACTAAATCTCAAGGCGCCACCTCCTACTCCAACAAAAAGAGAATCATTCTGGAAAAATGTAACCTTTTCCGCTAGATAAAGGTGATTACCCTTGCGATAGCAAGGGTAGAGCAATCGGGTACTCAATTCTTTTTCCTGTAAACAACGTTGTCCAAGATTTCAGCATGCATGCAGTACACGATATGCATGCAGTATGTGCGACGTATAATGTGCTTATTGATCTATTACTCTCGCTGTGCATCTTTATTAGTCTTACTCCAATAAGTTCGCAGTTCAAAATATTTAAAGATTTTTTTTTTAATTTTCGAATTCATCGCTTTCGGTTTACTTTTTGTCGTCTTAGTTTCCGCTTTCTTTTACCATCCAACTAAATAGCTTACTTGAGTGCAAGCTTTTTTAACAATATAAATGCTTTAAAAGTTTTGATTTACCTCAGCTGTTTCTTTTTTTTAAATCTTGTCTTATTCATTATGATAGATCTAATTTTTTTCGACACTTTTGTTTTTTCGATTTTTTTTGTGTTATATCGCAAGTGGCGTGAAGCTCAGCTTCGCCTCTGTAGGAACATTCTATTCTGTCTTTTGCACTGCAATAATGTTGCGTTGTAATAGGTACTATGTGGCTCTTTTTCCTTTCCTTTTAACTCTGCGGGGTAATTGCAGTTTTTACTGATAATTTTCCTTATGATATTTTTCGATAAATCGTAATGATTTTTAAATAAAACGATTCACACATTTGAAGGAACATGTCTATAGTTATTTTACCTCATTAAAATTAGTAATAAAAAATGGAAGCTTGTTAACAGTCCCCCCTTTTGCAATAGGGGGGATTCGTTACAAGGTATCATAGGGGGGGGGGGGGATAGTTAACAAGATCCAAAAATCGCATAAGTTTACCTGACTGGCAAGCGGCTGGTGTGATTGATCCCTCTTTGGCACATGGACACTGGTTGCGGAGACAGTTCATCAGTCTGGTCTGCTTCATGGGCACAGTTAGTGGACACCCACTGGCCCGCTCGCTCTGGTCCAGGGAAATGAGAGCCTCATCCGGGTCACAGTAGTTGAAAACCCTTAAAGAGTGTGAATATACCAGCCAAAGTAAAAACCAACCGAAACTGCGCAGAATATTGAAACCAGCCGAAAATTTACACCATAAGATGGAAATTTGCATAATTTTTGCAATTGTTGCATAACTATTATATAACACTTACGTGTTTTTGGTATTTTTGATTGCTACTCCGACTGGTTTATACTTCGACTGGTTTGTATACCACCACCCGCACCGAAGTTTCTCGGATAAAAATAGATTATATTGAGAAAATGTTGCCGAAAATATTGCCATTATAATCGATTATGTGTAACCAATTTAAGCAACATTTTCTATTATAATACAAAGAAAATAGATTATTTTCATCAAGAATATATTGCCTTGTAATTCCACTAAAATGTATTTTTATCTCCATATAATCTCAATAAAATCTATTTTTTTGCCCTCAAATCAAAATGAAATCGCAATAAAATCGATTGTTTTTGCCATAAAATTGCATTAAAATCTATTGTTTTTGCCATAAAATTGCAATAAAATCTATTGTTTCCGCCATAAAACTGCCATAAAATCGCAATAAAAACTATTGCTATCGCCATAAAATTGCAATAAAATCGATTATGTTGTCAAAAAATTTAATTATATTGTCAGAAAAATTAATTTTTCTCTTCTTAAAAGCGTGCTATATGAAAACTCAAAGCAAAAGTTGAATTCAAACCAAACGACACAATTCATGAAAATCATCAAAATGAACAAGATTTTCGGCACAAAAAATATGCAACAAAAATACAAAATATCATCATTGTAAATCAGATTTTGTGCAAAAACATATGTAAAAATTCAAGAATATTGTAAATATAAACCAGATTTGAGCTCAAAAATATGCAATGAAATCATAGTAAATCATTATTGTAAATCAGATCTCGGGCAAAAATTTTTAAAAGAAATGATTAAATGGGTCAATATAAATCACATTTTGAGCTCGAAAATATGCAAAAAAAATGTAGAAAATCATCATTGTAAATCAGATTTTGTACAAACACAATTGTAAAGATTCCAGAAAATTCATTCAATAGTAATCAAACTACTGAAAGCATACGGGCAGTAATCAGATGATCTGAAAATTAAAAACATTAGAAAAACATCATAGTATTCACCAAATCAAATATGGGTCGGATTGGCAGCAGGCATGAAAGATGACTTTATTCAAAAAAAAAGACTTTTAGATTTTATTCTAAGATACATTATCCAACTCCCCCATTACAATACGATGCAAATTAAACAAATTTACGAAGTCTTTTTTGTTGAGTTAAGTCATTTTTCATACCTGCCGCTCATCCCGCCCATTCAAATCAAATTTATTATTTCGAGTTCTGATGGGATTGAGAATGATGTAAAAACAAGACACGAAAAAAAACTTGAAATTCAGTTCAAACTTTACTTAAAAGCTTGTTTTGCTGCTAAAAATCTTATATTTCTATGCTCAGGCAACTAAGAATTTGAAAAAGTTGAGGTCGCACTTTTTTGTGTTTTGATCGAATTTTTATATCAATTTTGTTTATATTATAATCTATTATAATCTATTTATTATAATCTATTATAATTCCAACATAATCGTCATAAAAATAAAGCTTTTCAATGGATTGTTTTCTCCATATAATCGATTATTTTACTCTGCGACCACAAAATTACCAGATAATTGATTATTAAAAGAATAATTTTTGGTTCGACCACAAAATCGCCAGATAATAGATAATAATCGGAGAAACTTCGGTGCGGGCACCCTTAACATATCGAAGGCCAGTGAGGCGATTTTAGTTTTCATGTAGCCAGGTGTTCTGGCAGCAAGCAGATAACCTTCATTTCATAATTGTTAGTAAAGCAGACAAAAAAATAAACAATCGCGCTTAATCTGATTGCTTGAAAAAAGATCCTGGCGGGCTGTGTTTGACGTCGCAGATCAAATCAACGCTTCTCTATTATCATAACAGCAATAGTTAGTTAAAAATGGAGAACTGTATCATAACCCACATCAAAAACTCTGGCTCATCTATATTCATAGATTCAAAGGTAAAGTATGTTGCCGTAGTGGATCATTGACGAGAAAACTTTTTGTCAACATTTTTTCGGCGTAAAATCAGAGAAAACACGTAGAAATTTGGCTTTTTTACTTTTAATTATACCCTGTGATTTAATAAAAAAAATACTTTTCTGAGATCTGTTGGGTATTCTACACCTGACACTAAACCTAACTGATAACGAGGACGAGGAGATACGTTGATACGAAATATTAAGGTAACAAAGCTGGATTAGGAACACATTTTTTGGATCTACTCAACAATCCCCCCCCCCCCATTATACAATTTACTTAAGAATCGTCACCCCTCTGAATAAATATAGTAAATTAGCGCTAGAGTTTTGTATTGAGAGTTCTTATTTTGCTGCATTCTGATTGGTCGATAGTTCGACTGACTTAATCTACGTAACAATATCCGTTTCAGGAAAGGAGGGGGCGAGTTTGCTAATAGATCATTTATACCGTTACAATGCTGTAAAGGGTTAATTTTTTTGCCAAATAATCCAATTGGTTTTAATTTGCCAGCTACCCGCACTGGAGTTCATGGTTAATAATCGATTATATTGCCATTTTATAGTCATTATCTATGAAATCTCAAAAGTAATCGATTATAATCCACCAAAAATGGATTATATTTCTAGTATTTTTTTACATCAACATAATTCAAACTAATCGATTATAGTCGATTATAAACCATTACAAATGGATTGTTATCATGATATATTTTAATCAATATAATCCATTATGAAAGATTATAATCGATTATCATGTATTTTTTGAGAAGAATTTATGATTTTTGGAATATATATTTTTTAAGTTATCTCATTTCCTTTTCGTGCAGTTGCTTTTAATTCTTACCTTTCACATAAAGTTGAATTTAAGTTTTCTCTACTTTTTCTATAGTTTACGTAAACTCCACCACCTCTTTTAACAACCCGATTCCCCAGTTTACCCCCCCCCCCACAGTTTACCTCCCGCCACCTCCCCCCACCCAGTTTACCCTACCTTAGTTTACCCCACGCGTCCCTTCACATCTTAGTTTAACACATCCCACCCCACCCCGCGTAACTTGGGTGAGGGGGTTAAACTGGAGAGTGGGGGTAAATAGGAGTTGTTTACACTGAGTAATCCCCTCCCCGTCCCCGTTAACAATCTGAGGGGGGACTGTAATTTGGGGGGTTGGGTTTGGTGGTAAACTTTAGTAATCATGGGGGTGGACGTAGGGATAAACGTAGGGGAGTGGTTTGAATTCGGTTGTAAGGGGGGAGGGGGCGAATGTGGATGGAGGCGAATGTGGATGGGGGCAAACTGAAGAGGGGGGCTTAATTTGAGTAGGTTTAGATTGCGAGTAGGTTGCGAGTAAGTTATGTTGCAAGTTTTGCAAATGATTTGCAAAACAATGTACAGATTATAATCAGTTATAATCAACTAAAATGGATTTTAAATTGATTACAGTTCATTATAATGGATTTTTATGGATTGTGTATTTACAAAATTATTCAATTAATGACAATATGATCGTGGTCTAAATTTGCAACAATAATGGGTTATAATGACAACATTTTAGACATTAATTTTCCATCATAATTAATTATTATCCATGGAACTCCGGTGCGGGTAAAACTATTAGAAATTTTCACTGCTTGCTGGGCTGTTTTCAGCAAACCAAACAGCTCGAGTTGAGGTACTCGAATTATGTATCAACCGTATGGGTCAAGCAAATTGGAGCATTTGGACCAGATTTTACCCGAAAACTTGATTGGTCGTAGTTAAGACGAAATTTAAACTTATAGGTTTTTTTGGTTCAGTAAAAAGTTTATCAAAGTTAGTCGGGACTTTTTGGAAGGAGATGTGATCAAATTCGAGAAAATTTTCTCACCTGGACGCTACACTCTGTCGTTTGCCGACTGGAGGCGACTCGTAGAAGTAGTCCATGTACAGCTGCTGCGACGAGAAGCAAGGCTGCTTTGTCTTAGATGAGTAACCCATTTATAACCCTATTTTCAACGAAAGACTGCGTTTTTTTTCTGTCTGACAGGAAAAATGCCTCAGTGAATTTGCTTGGTTGGACGAGCATTCACGTCACGCTTGATTGGGCAAATAATTTTTAACAATAAGTCTATAACAAAAGTAATGAATGCGTCCTGCTTTTTCAATGGAAAGACAATTTTGGGAACTTATTTGGGTAAAAATCAATCGAATAGTCTCAAAAAACATTAGAAGCTGACTATGTTCAATCCACATTAAAAACAGTATGAATACTTATTTTAAGGTTATTTTAAGTACTTATTTATAACAGAATGAATTGTATTTTAAGGTCGCATTTTCGGGTTCAATTTTGCGCTTAGACTCTGATTTAACATCTATCTGAAGTGTTTTGGCAATTTTATCACTTTCAGCATCGATTTGGATGCTTTGTAGCCCAAGTAACATAAAGCCTGATTTTTTGTCTAAAAGTGCTGAATTACCCGAAATTACAATCTGGATATATTCTGGCTTAAAAAGGATCAATGTGTTAATTGGAGGTAACTTCTTCGAGGCAAAAAAGTAAAGCGTTAGCTTGAAGGAGTAGAATGAAGAATGCTTTCGAGTGTGATGAATTTATTTGTTGTTATTGATCTAGGTGGAGCGTCGCTTGTCTGACTAATGGACTGCAAATTTTTCCGGCTTCGTCTCAAATTTCACTTGGAAAGCTGAGTTGAAAAAAGCAGATCAAAACTAATTTGATGATGCAGTTATTTTCAGCTTAGGAGCCTAGAAATGGAATCTACAGACGCATCGGTGCCAATAAATGGAAACTTTCTCTTGGACTAAAAAAATCATAATCATCGAAAAAAAAGATGGTTATTGGCTTTTTTATTACCTAGAGTGAAACCATTTATAGGGCTTTTATGACGCTATTTCTTGTTTTTAATGACTCTGACTATATTCTGACAATTGTAACATAAAATTTAAATGCTAACTAATTTTTAAGGGAGGCTTTGAACAAGTTCGAAGTGAAAAAGTTACCAGAAAACAAAAATGACAAACATAACTTAGGGGATATTTTAAAATTTATCAGGGGTAGTATATAGGCAACGCTAGTAGGTAAATCTCTTAATGGTCTTACTGGACTAGCCGACAGAAAAAGAGAGGGGGAGATTATAATCTCAGGATAAGATTAAATTGGCTCTGCTTTCTGGTACTACAGCTTCTACAAGGGCTGGCTAAAGGGCTTTGCTTTGACACAATATCAATCATTATAGTCTAATGAAAACGAAAACAGACGTTTTTGATGTTTATTAAACCAAGAGCTCAGTCTTAAAAGGCAGAGTAAATGGTTGTCGCTTGGAGGAGATTTATAATGAAGCTGATATATTTTCAATGACCGAGAATTTTTACATAATTTATAGATTTGGGAACAAACAATACAAAATGTCTGTTGCTTGTCGTGTCCATTCTAAAATTCCGATGGGATCTGAAATTGCCCTTTTGTTGTCGCAAATTTCTATTTTATCCCCTACCTGTGCATACATTCATCATAGATTCCCCCTTTACCCTTTATTATCAACCTATTAAAAGTTGCGTAGTACTTGATAGATACATATGCATCTTTTTGATTTTTTTCACATCAACGAAAACTTTGTTAGACTCTCTTCTTAAATCCACCTACCCAGGTTAACCTCCACATACTGAAATTGCTAGTCAAACAAATACATACAATTTATTAGTGAAAAACCGATAGTAATTCTATCCAAACAATGGAGATTAAAAATTTTAAAAAAATTTTTTTCATTTAAAATTTTCAAAAATTTTTTTTCATTTATATCTGTCGCAAAACGAATTTCTACTCTTTTGCAAAAAAACAGCACGCAAAATATAATTTTTTGTTCAAAAAGTAGTCCAGTTGATCAAAAGTATTCTAAAAATTTGTTGCTTTTTTCAAGTTGTGTTTTTTCCAGCAAAAACATTTTTTTTTGTTTCTGAACTTCTGCAACAGCAGAGTATTGCAGCGCCACTTGTAAAAGTTTGAGTAAATTTATACTACATAAATGCATCACAGTTAGTTTTACTCCATGGAAAAGTCTCATTATGCAATTTTTTGATTTCTTAGGGGTATTTATTCTCCAGGGTTACTTTGCTTAAACAAACACAAAAGTTGAGAATTGGAAAAAAAAAACAATCTGCGTTTGCGAAAAAATACTATTCATACAATTTCATGCAATAAAAATAAAAAAGAACGTCCTCGTGGAATCCGCTTACAATTCACAAAATGCACTGTTTGTCCTCGTAATGACTGTTTTGACCTTTTGAAATTATTCTGAAAAAAGGCTGAAAATTGATTGTTTATACAGTTTGTTTAAATCGATAACTTTATGCTTGTCGATTAGAATTATTTTGTTACAAATTGTTGAATGAGAGCTACGAAAGCTGCAGTGAAAACCAGTTTTTCATTTTTTTCTGAGTAATTTCTGCACAGAAAGACCATCAAAACTTTTCTGTGTTGTGTTATCGAAACCATTTTGTCGTCAGAGACAACTTATTTCGAATCTTTTTAGCCAAAATCTCGTATGTACAGTTGAATATATAGAAAAGTTTAAAAAAGTGAATGAAGTTTTTGTGCTACTGAGGCAGTTGTTTTAGATGCTCTAATGGCAGCTTCGTGGCTTTAAAGCCCTAAAAATATTAGCTGGAACTGTGTTAGTTTTGATTCACAGCATAAGGTTTACAAATTCTTCTATCTTCTAAGCTGTATTCATCAAGGGGGAGTTCAAAGTTTTTTTACGGCCGCAAAAAAATGTACTGAGGAACTTTGGATTTGGGAGTGTAATTTTAGCATGCCTGGTTAGGTACCACAAATGCAGTGCTGATTTGAATTATCCGGACAAAACAAACAAAACTTGAGTTTTTCTCAATTTGGGTTAAGTTTAGACAAAACGTAAAAAGAACAATAGTTGCTAAGACTTTCATCAGAATTAATATGGTGCAATTTTTTCTCCAAAAATCCAAACCAAAACTTAACCCCAAATATGAGTCATTTTGACTTTTTCAATTAATCAAGAATTACGTTAAATTTACATTGTTAATTGATGAGAAGTATATATCACAAGAATCCTCTTACACAGCCCGACAAAAATCTAGAAAAAATAAATCACCATAAATCTGTATAAGAGAAAATATTTTCACTTGATCGTCAAGAAGTGGGATTTTTACTATATAAAACCCAAAATCTTTGCGTAAAAACAAATTATAATCAACTTACTCATTTTTTTGGAGAATTTATTTGGAGAAGTAAATAGCTTCTTGAGATATACATTTCTCATCAATTAACGCAGTAGTTTCAGCGTAATTCTTGATTAAATGAAAAAACTAAAATGACCCATTTTTGGGGATAAGTTTAGTTCAGAATTTCCGAGAAAAAGTTGCAGCATTTTATTTCTGATGAAATTCAAAGCAACTTATGTTCTCTTCACTTTGAGAACAACGTGTATGAAAATTCAGGTTTTGTTCATTTTATCCGCATAGTTTAAATCAGCACTGTATATTTTAGCGTGGTTCGAATGCTAGTTCAAATTATAACCCTTCCAGTTATTTTTGAAACTGAAATGAAACACTCCAAAAATGAACAGAAAAATTGGCTCGACTTATTTTGATTTTCATACCAAAGTAGGGGTGATGAATTACATTTTTTGTCAATTCACTAAAAAAAATTTAAAAGTAGTTTTATTTATTAATTAAAATTTTTTTAGAAAGCTCTGGAAGTTGCGCTTAAAACCTCTCGCACAAAATAAGTTAAATAAAAAGAGGCATTTTTGTACCGTGTGCGCAGCAATCGGCGAACTATGATGTTCTGACTTTTTTTGAAAAAGTTTCGAATAAATAACTAGGAATAGAGAAATTTTTTTTCATCTTTTCATCCATTTTTGACTTATTTAAAGTGAGCTCATAGTGGATCCAACGAGATATCAGTGACGAGAAACGCTGTTTCACTGTTTAAACTCAAAAATATGGAACTGGCCGAATACTCAGACGAGTGTGAATACTTCGTATCTTAAAGTTTTGTTTAAAGTCATATAAAAATTATAAAAATTTGAATAAATTGCTTTGAAGGCACTCTGATTTTAGTCATTGTTAAAATTTTAGAGATTATATATTTTTTTTCCAGTTCCCGCCATGGATATTTTTGTGATTAAAGAAAGCTTATTTACAATCAGTAGCAGTTTTAAGGGGGGAGGTTAGCGCGCACCGAAAAAAATTTGGCCAAAACAAAGTTTTTTTAGTGCTTCGGGAGAGCTCGGAAAATTTTTTTGATGATCTAAACTGGACAGCGTGAACAACTGGACAACACTTTTTTCATACAAATATCCGTTATCAACATTTGTAAAACAATTTTTGTTGTATTTTTACGAGGATATGGAGAGAATATGGATCTGAAAAAGAGAAGTGCAATTTTTTCGGCTCTTTTTTGCAATGATAATTTTAATCGAAACTACATGTGTTCGCTGATAAGTTTTGCGTGGTCTCAAAAACAAAGCAATAAAATTGTTATCTCACTAATAGATTTATAGCACGTGGTATAAAAATAAAATATTTTATGCTTTAGGTCTGTTTGTTGGGCCGTTACCTGCCTATCAATGAGTATATGCCCATTCCTCCACGTGAAGCGGTGTCTTTTTCTTATGACAGTTGAACGAATTCTTTGGGAAAGAAAAGAAAATAGTTTACAAAATGCTCTTTCAGCGGCCTAATTCTGAATGGCTCCCTGTAGTAAAAAAAATATGGCTTTTTCCCCCTCCTTACACTTTTAGATTTCAATTTTCAATTTTGAAAAACAATTTTTATGTTACCATAATATAATGTAATTTTGAATGATGAGCAAACTTACTATTGTGAACACAATTGTTTTTCATATCTTACATCGTAACATCATAACATCAAGCTTTCAGCCATAATAGTACGTAAGACAGCTAAGAAAGTTGAAATTTTAAAATATGGGGGGGGGGGGGGCGGAAAAAGGCCTAAAATAAATCGGTGTTATGAGATTTAATTTCGTTACCATGAAAAGTACCACAATCTAATTGGAATTTTAGGTCGATCTACCAGGTGAAAATTTAAGCTATTAATGTGTCCATGTATTTGTCTCTTGACAAGTTGACCTTCTAGCCCCCTCTCCTTCAATCACAACAACCCTTTTCCTTCCGCTGTAGCTTTTGAGAATAGCCTTAACTTCAAATGAAGAGACGTAGAGGTTAAGCTTACTGTCACTCTTGTCAAAAGAAACCCTAATTTCTAAGTACAATTCACCATTATAAATCTCCCCAAAAAGTTCACATTGGAATCACTTGTCAAAAATGCTTAGAATTGCTTACAAATGGCTAATTTAACAAAGGGTTCAATTTTATTTTCACCAAAATGACCATTCGGCAAACTTTGGCTCAGTTCCTTCATAAATCCCACATGATGGAAAAAATCGATTCTTTTCCAACATTTGAATTTCAAAATTGAAAAAAAAACTTTAACAATGTCATATTGCTATGAAATTTTGCACAGTGATTAAACGAACTGTTGAGAGCAGATTTTTTTTCATATTTGATGTCGTAACGCATATAGCCTAATAACACATTAAAAATTTGAAATTAGAAATATCATATGTGGCCGTGAAACTAGAAAAGAGTCAAAAATTCTACTGTATGTGAGGGGAGGGGTGTTATAACTTCTTTGTCACTCGTGGAAGGAGCTATAACAAAAAGAACCCAAGAACCCAATTTTTCTATTTAAAACAACTCACCCCATACTAGTTGTTGAAGAGTTTCCTTTTACAAGTTGTTACTGAAGTAGTATTTCACGGGTTGATAAAAATCAAGGAAACGGTAACAAAGTTTAACAACCCAAAGATAGTTATCATATAAATACTACAGGTTAAATGCTGTCACTAAATCTTTGACAACTCCTTACAAATTAAAATATCTGCAATTTCGACCTCTTGCCTTGATTCCGATTATTTCCCTTTTTTCTTACTCGCCTCATTGGCTTTAGGCGTGCTTCTCTGATCCGCCACAACTTGTTTATTTCAACAAGCCTATAAAAATAATGAAACGCTTCAAATTAAAAGTGCATTTAAACCTAATGGCAGCACAAATAAAAGCTTACAGCCACTAGAGAAGAAAATTAGCACATGTTTTTGAGTTCGGTAACTATAGAAGGTTGCAAAAAGTTCGGACTAACAGAAATAATTAAAAAGAGCAATCTGCCAATTTTGAGCAATTTTTGCATGCAAATTTGAAATTTTAGGCGACTCTGAGACATATTTTTAATTAGTCATTTGCTCTTTTTAATTATTTTTGTCTGTCCGAACTTTTTGCTACTAATTATAATTTTGCGAGAAACTCACAAACAGTTTCATGTGTGCTGAATTCTCGGAAAGTTGGATTTTTCGGATTGTTCGGAAATCGAATCAAACTTCTCAGGCAGTTATAGAGAGTTGTAAAAAGCTCGGACAGACAGAATTAATTAAAAAGAGCAATTGTACCATTTTGACAGATTTTTGCATGCAATTTCTTTTTTCATACAACCTTGAGACACAAAATAGGGCTGAAAAAATAGATTTTGCATGCTAATTTTTTGGAAAATAGGTCAATTGATCTTTTTAATTAAATTTGTCTGTCCGAACGTTTTTCTACTACTAATTATAG